GCGGGCCAAATTTGGCCCGCGGGTCCCACTTTGGGCTCCTCTGGACTAGATTGTATCTGTGTCTGCACGTAGACCGTGGCCCACAGAGGACACACCCTACGTGGGCCGTAGGCCGTCTATGTAGGCTGCATAAACAGCTGTGAAATGAGACATCTAGTCTTCGAATGACTTGACCACGCGCTGCCCCATTAGCATGGTAATACATTTTTTATCACAAGCCTTCAGTYGTGTTTTAACGGTATAACTTCCCTAAATTCAGTTATAGTTAAAACATTAAACGTAAAAGAATACTAAAACATTAATAAATTGGGTTCAGCTCCAGTATCAGTACTTGTAATTTCATTTTATTTAATGCCTCATCACAGCATAAATTTCATCAGGTAAGCTGCTAAACAAACATTTAAAGTAAACTCTTTGGTTTGTAATAAATTTACGAACTCCACCATAAAATAACCCTCGGTCATCTTTGTTTTTCTGTTAGTTTGCTGATGGTGCAATGAATTCTGGGATATTTTTGGCTGCGTAGGTTACTCAGATGCAGCCTACATTTTCGGGATTTTGTCGGCTGCATGAGTTGATGACTATGAATTGGGACAGCCTTCAACGCAGCGTAGTGAAGTAATGACCCTTTTCCATTAGTGTCTCTACAGCACGGTTCGACTTGGCTGAACTCTATTCAGCACTGCTCGAGTGGTTTTCCATTACAATTCATTCTCTAGTGGGTGGGTCCATCGTAAAGTTGGGTGGTCCCAGAGTCCAAAAATTGATGCCACACACCTTAGCAGCTGGTAGTAGCTATGCTCCAATGCTCCATTAAACACAGCAGAAAAAAAAGACCCCATGTGTTTTTACTGGTCACAGTTAAAATGTTACACATAAATAAATAAATAAGATAAGATAAGATAAGATAAGATATTCCTTTATTAATCCCGCAGTGGGGAAATTTACATTGTTACAGCAGTATAAAAAGCAAAACCAATTTGAAAAACTATATATACACAGTAAAATCAAGTGAATATAGAAA